TTTGGGTGGGCTTCCAAGTTCCATTTTCTATTTAGAACATGCACTTTTCACTTGTCTCAAGTTACTTGGAGGAAAAAAACCTATGCAACAGGTAAAGATGTCTCTACATTGACACCTAATACACCTGTTCATGGGATATCTGTTTGCCCCTGGGAGGTACATCCTAACAGGATCGCACTGACCCACTTTAGGTGTGTGACAGAAGTGATCAGATGAGGACAACGCTGTCACCTCTTAGAGCTGCAAACCATACAGCTATGGGGTTGATGCACTGCAGTCCTAGGACTTATGTCCCAGGCCTACCATTCGGGTATGTTATAGCAGTGTCAGAAAGTAGTTAGTGAAAGAACAGTCTCTTTATGAAATGGTTGTTGGGACAACTGGATATCCATATTCAGAAAAGTGAAGATGGATTCCTATCTCACACCATGTATAAAAATTAACTTCATATGGATCAATGACCTAATTAGAAGAGCCAAAATCATAACACTCTTAGAAGAAAACAGGAGAATATATCTTCATGAACTTGGATTTGCCAATAGACTCTTAGATATGACAACAAAAGCACAAGTAACCAAAGAAAAAAATAGAGTGGGCTTCATCAAAATTAGAAACTTTTGTGTATCAAAGAATATCATTAAGAAAATGAAAAAGCAACCTACAGAATGGGAGAAAATATTTGGAAATGATTATCTCCTAAGAGTCTAGGATCCAGAATATAAAAAGAATTCTCACAAATCAATAACAGAAAGACAACCCTATTAAAAACTGGGCAAAGGACTTACAAAGACCTTTCTCCAAAGAAGATATGCAAATGGCCAACACACACATGAAAAGATGCTCAATATCATTAGTCATTAGGGAAACACAAATAAAAACCATAATGAAGTACCACTTCACATCCACTCGGATGGCTGCAATTGTTTAAAAATTGTAAATAACAACCGTTGGTGAGGATACTGTAAAGAAATTGAACAGAGAATTACCATATGACCCAGTAATTCTACTAAGTATATACCCAAAAAAATTGAAAACAGTGCTCAAATGCATGTACACATGTTCATAGCAGCACTACCCACAATAGCCAAAAGGTGGAAACCACTGGTGTCCATCAACATATGAATGGAGAAACAAACTGTGGTATACAAACCTTATGTATGTAGTGTTATGTGGAGATGAGCCTCAATATGCTGAATGAAAGCGGACAGACACAAACGTTCTGACTTGGGAACCAGAGGTGATGGTTGCACAGCATCGTGAATGAAAAGCCACTGAATTGTTCACTTTAAAATGGTTAATTTTATATTCTGAGTTCACCTCAATTATTTTTTTAAAGGGTGGCTGGCTCCCTACACCAAAATGTGATCAGTAGTCAATGACTTGCTGAAAAGGCATTGGAAAACCTTTATTTCCTCATTAGGATATTAAATGTTATAAAATAAAAACAAAACCAAGTTCCTTCAGTAGCCTTTGTGGCGAACATCCATCCAGTTTTCTTTTCTTCTGCTCCTCTGCTTGCCTTTGAGCATTTCTCCTTTCATTCAATACCCATTACATAAGACGGGAAGAGGAGTGGATAGTATGCCTGTAAATTATAATCCTGTTAACACCACTGGCATAAAGAAATCATTGAAATGTTTAAAAAAATCAGTTAAAGTGGACTATGGGATTAATAGGTACCTTAGTTGCACTTATCCATGCAATCTCATTTTATTTTAGAAAAGATAAAGGACTGCTACTGGATCATAAACGTTTGTCTCAGAACTCGTGACAATTTTACCCAATCTTGCAGAAGTTTGGAAGGCTTGCTACTCAGATCTCACTGTATACACTTTTATGTATGTTTATTACTTTCCTAGGGCTGCCATAACAATGTACGTCTTACTGGCTTACAAACAACATGAATTTCTTCTTTCAGTTCTAGAGGCTAGAAATTTGAAATCAAGGTGTCAGCAGGACTCCCTTCCCTCCGAAGTTTCTAGAGAATCTTCCCTTGCTTCCTCCAGCTTCTGGTGGCCCCAGGCAGCCCGAGTTTTGGCCACATAACTGCCGTCTCTGCTCCGTCTTCACATGTCTTCTTCGTTGTGTCTTTGCATCTTCTCTTCTCACAAGGATCTGAGTCGATAAATTTAGGGCCCACTTAAATCCAGGATGATCTTACTTTGAAATCCTTAACTGATTACATCTGCAAAGACTCTTTTACCAAATAAGGTCACATTCTGACATTTCGGTTAACATGAATTTTGGGGGCAGTTTTGGAGATGATGTACTCATCCCACCACACTAGGTAAGCAACAAAATTTCTCTTTTTTGACACAGTAAGGTTTTAAAAAATTCTAATTCAAATTTAGCTTGGTGAAATTAGAACAATTCTTTCAGAGAAAACTTTAAAATCTTAATAATCCGCAAAAACAAAAACTAAATCAAACTAAAAATAAATCCAACCTCTAGAGTTTAGTCCTCCCTTTATTTATTTACTAAAACTGATCTAAGAAATAAGAAAAACATTTTTTGACAGAAATAAAGCATGATAGATTGGTGCTTTATTATTTATAATTTATTACAGAAGTAACTTCAGCTTTCTAATCGTAACAATTCAATAAATCCTGTTAACAGAAGCCTTGATACTTGATTTTTCTAAAAATTTTTATCCCTAAACCTTAATTTTTTTAAACATTTAAAATCAATTTTTTAGGAATTTGAAGGTGAAACTTTATAACCATCTTCAAAGCATAGAGTGAAATTAGTTATGTGGTCAAATATCAACTACTTGAAATAGTGTAAGATGACAATGTACCTGCAAATATTTTCAAATCCTAATTGATAAATACTGTATTTAAGGGTCAGGTAATTTATAAATAAATTGCCAAATTACAAGCCAATGTGGGTAGATTGCATTTTCCAAACCGTATGAACATATCCCACTTCATAAAGTTTAACACCCTGGGGAAATTTTTTGTACATTACTGAAATTAGTTTCATTATAAATTTTCAGGAATTTTTTCTAATGAACCAAGATTTCATATGAAAAAGCATAAGTTATTTCAATATTTTTTTTAGATAAAAGAATAAGTATGAACGAAATGTAGAAATCTGATGTTAACTCCTCCTTTGGCTGAAAAAATTTAATTATAAACAGGTCTCAAATACAGTTCATAACATCATGGAAATGAAACATTACGTAACCCTATATATATTTTTAATTTTACATGTTTTATTCACAAATTTATAATACCAGTCACACATTTCAAAACCATTTATTAGAGTCAGACCACTCAGTTTTACACTAGACAGAAACTGCCTCTGAACAATGTATCGGTGGTGGTTGTTAAAACCTTTAAAAGGGGTTCACTGCTAAAAGGAGGCTCGTCCTGATTAATTTCAATCACTAGCAACTAGAAAAAACTAAACCGTAAGTACAAGCCTGAAAAATAACTTAAAACGTAGTACTGGGAAGCTATTAAAACTTACTATAACTAAAGTTTAACGGTAAACTTTACTTAAAAAAAAAATGACATATCGCTCCCACATGAATCCACAGAAGAGGAGGACTACAGGGAAATACAGGGAGGCAGAGGGCCCCTTCTGCCAAGGGGTGAAGAAAAGCACATCTTCACTATCAGGGAAGGGAGGAAAAAAAGACGACGAAGAGGAGGGCCTGAACTTTAAAGAAAAACTACAAGTACTTGTTACCCACTGGGCCAGTTCGCCACCTACAGGTCGGATGAGATCTCCTCCCCCCACACCCAAACCCCACCCTCAACCCCAGTTTCCCGTTTTTGAGGGTAAATTAGACCCTCTGATAATAAAGTTAAAATTGTATCTAGCCGCCCTCACCCCAAAATGGGGCTGACGGGTGTGAGCAGCTGCCCTGCTGGAAGGGAATGGGTTCTCCCCTTCCCTTTCACATCATGTGCTTTTCAGGCGCCATGTTGGGCTCCTAACAGGCGGCTGCTCCCCTCGGGTCGATTCCCTGCTCCCACCCACCAGCAGCTCGCCCCCAGGTCCCCCTTCACCTCCTTCCAGCCCGCAGAGCACCAATATCCAGAGGGGTCTTGGGGGGAACTGGGAGAAGGCCCACTCCCCACCTACCCCGGGGGCTCAGCGGCTTTAACGCTTACTTCCCCACACCACTAACTGCCTTTGGGTCTCCGCTCCCAAAGCGATCTGCCCAAAGCGTGTGGGTCGGGCCGCACAGGGCGGTGGCCTACACAGGAAGTCGGCAAGCGGAAGCGGGGCTCCACCCTTTCTCTCCCTCGCCGCGAGAGGCCCACGCTCGAAGCCTGGGCCGAAGCCCGAGCCTGAGTTGGACGGGGAGGGTTGGAGACAGGAGCGCTGTCCCCCTTCGGACGGAAGCGAGACCTGGGATGAGGCTGACACCCAAACCAGGGAGTATTATAGGAACAGGAGGCTGCGGGGTGCATAAAACCTTGGCGGAGGGCAGGTTCTCCTCGGCAAGAATGGTCAGCACATTGATGTGCGGTTGGTTACTGAAGGTCAGGTCTTGGAGGGATGACTGACAACCGCAACGGGCGTCGTCCCGGCCCCCGCAGTACCGGCCTCGGCCGGCGTTGGCTCCGACATGGCGCCTGGCCCGCTCCGAGGTCCATCACTGAAGCCAAGCCGCCCTCCGTACCGCGCCTCCCTTCCGACCCCCCTTCCTCTCCCCGGGTCCCGCGGCCCGGCTTCACCACATGCTGACCGCAGAGGGGCGTTGGGGGACGATTCATGGGGAACCTCGGCTATGAAACGCCGCCGTCTCACGGTGATGTCGGCGCACTTCCAGCCGCCACACAGGCTTTTTTCTCCACAGACACAAAATGGCGGCAGGAGTGGCCAACCAACCCTGTATTTCTTATAAACACCGAAAGTATCCCAGCACAGATTTAGTAACATTTTTAAACTATCAACGACCTGTAACACAAGATTCATTAGTTTGGCAAAAATTAAATTATTTTTAATTTAAGAGGGAGAAGAAACTTCTGGATATGTAAAATTTCACAGATAAATGCCAGTATACACTATTTATATATATGTCATATTATTCCAAAACTATATTAGGTGAACTTAATTGATTCCAATTTAATGGGTGTGCAGTATTTATACTAGTTCAGACTTAAGCAGAATTAAACATTTACAAGTCAGATCTCAATTATACATGAAATATTTACACAAACATTAAAGTAACTGTTTATTAAATATTGTTTGAGAGAAAAACAAGGACAATTTTCCATATATGCATACATTAACTATCATCAAGAGCAGCTTTGCAAAATCTTTTTGTTTTCTTTTTTTAAAGAATAGATTTGTTTTCAAAAAAGTAAGGTGCCATTGTAGAATTTTTTTATATAGAATTGAATTCACATGAAAAGAAAATACTGGATGAAAAACAGAACATGAGACAGGTTAAAACTTTCTAGTTACTTATATCTGAAATAAGACAATGAAAGAAGTTGAGCTTTCAAATACTGCTTGTTTTTCCCTTTACACGTAGACCAAGTAGTATAGACTATTTTTGTCCCAGGGTACAGTTTCTTTGAAACAGGAACATACTTGTAACCAAATTTCTGTAAATAGATAAATGACAAAAATTTCCAGAGTATTGTCTTTAAATGGATTCTTAGTAGATTAAAGGCTTTCTTTAAAAAAAAAAAAAGAAATCTTGCTTCATGCAAGTAACTTTTTAAAAGCTAAACTTATGTCTACTTTTTTCCCCAGTTCTAAATATCATGTATCTGGTAAGCATATGTAGTTTGTATTATCTAAAAAGTTGGTAGATGATGCAGTAGTGTGCAAATTTTTAGGAAAGAAAATAATCCCTAGTGGTTTACTACCCAATTCCTTCTGTATGTGGAATCCAATAGCACTATAAGTTTGCATTTATACATTTAAAACACAGGCTTCAGAAAAACTGTCTTGACAGATTCCCTATCAATCCATTGCCTGCTATTATTCCACAGGCTTAGAATTACCAGTGGATCGAATGGCTGAAGTTTTCAACAGTCTGGAATAGCAATGGTATTTGAAACACCTCTTTAAAGAAACAACACATAAGTAAAAACACACTTACCATCCATGCTTGGTATACATCACAACAAATTATTAGGAATGTCTCATGGCTCAAATTCACATACAATCCATAAAAAGGAAATGCAGCTTCTCTCCACACCATACTCCAGTCAGGAAAACAAATGGGCCATATCTTCATTAGCGAATGGCCAAAGTCACTTGAAAAGGTCATTAGTGGCAATTCTAAAGACCAGGGACCCTTGTAGGAAAATAAATATCTTTCTCCAGGGAATGAAAATGTTTTGTGGAGAATTCCTGAGCCCACTTCTGGCACTGGGGGACTAGCTAAATGCTTTATCATACATCTGCATTTACATGGTCTTCAGTGTTAATAACAGAAAACATTTTCATTCCTTCCAAATTGCTCTTGCTTCTGTAGACAGTTAAATTTTAATTATTACTCAACATAACACAGAGAGCAAAACTGACAGTACTGCAAACACAACTGCAATTTAAGGAGCCAAAAGGAAATATGTTGGCAAGCTAAATGCTTACACAAAAAGATGTTTGCCTTTTAAAATAATGGTGTGCAGGAAACTGAAAAAAATATGCAGACAAGAAATATTAAAAGGTTTCAGTGCTCTCCCAATTATTGTGAGGTTTTTAGGGGTAAATGGTGGTTTCTTGAAAGTAAAATTTTGATACTTCTATCTCATGCTGCTTAGTGTCATAAGGATACTTATATGGGTGTCCAGATTTGTGTGAGATTTGAAAGTAAGATAGAATGAACTAGAAGCAACTTGAAGCTGCCTCTGATCAAAGGTTTGACTTCAAACAAACTGGACTGAAAAAAAACTTCCAGGGCCTAGTAGAGTAAGTTTTTGTGCTTTATTTATTCACGGCCCTTTTGAGAAAAATTTTTTTCCTTTTAATATTGTCAGATTAGAATCACAAGGGTTGAGTAATAAATTTAGGAAGGCCTTCAAGAAAATGCCTGGTTTATTTCTAAAGGAGAGGCTGCTGATGGTAATTTGTTTGCTGCTGTGCAACTGAATGAGCTGGAACTGCTGCCGGAAAGCCTGCCAGCTGCGGCAAACTGGAAGTAGTGTTCTGGTAAGATGACATATCCACAGACATCCCCATCTGCTGTGCGTACGCAGCTGTACCGGTAGCTGATTGAAGGTTAGAGTTCTGGTTCATATAAGTAGGATTGGAAATAGGGTCTTGTCCAGTGCTACACACAAAATTTTAAAAAGAAAATTACATTTACTTTGCATTATCTAGGTTATGGTCAGAAATCAGTCATCATTTAAGTAAAGTAAAAATGCCTTTCCTATCTTTTAAAGTACTCAGTCCTATTCAGATTATGGTTGAATCACTCCAGCTATCCAATACTGTTCATGTAATTTTGTAAGTGGTAAGAAGGAAGTACTCAAAAACAAACAAATACAAGATTCTAAGACCTATTACATTTTTTTCTCCAAAACCTCTCCCCAAAAACATTTTTAAAAACTTTTGAGGGGATACACACTGTTTCTGACAGTCGTGTCCTCAGAACCCCAGTTCAAGTATACCTTCGACTGTGTTCTCCTTCCCCTGCCTCTCAGTCCAGCACACAGGAGGCCACTTCTTTTCATCACACATTCTTTATACTTTCCCTTGGTAGGGCACTTTCAAAGCTGCCCCTGCTAGTCAGCTTAACCTGAGTCTCTACATAAAAATAATTAAGGCAGACAGGCCAGTGAAATCTGTACAGAACCTTGAATCTATCCTCAAAATTGTCCTGACCTGCAGTCTGCTTATTAACACTATACAAAAAAACAACAATAACAACAAAAAACTAAGTTGAAAAGTCACCCAAATTGCAGGACCTCTGTTTGTTCTTATAACTTACTATAGCATAGATTTCTTTTAAGAGATACATAATTTTAAATTACACCAAATATACGGCTTACAGTACAGGAGGATTAATGTCTACACTACTCCAGATCAGGATAACAAAATTTTACATTTTAATTGAATCATCAATATGAACATGTTTTTTAAATTTTCAGATAATACCTAAAATGTATGTTCATGGCATTTAAGAGCGGAAAGAGACCTTAGAGTTAATCTACACATTACTACATTGAATGAACATTTTGTGTAATTAAGCAAAGCTAGTAAAGGCAAGATTTAACATGATTTTCAGAATTCAAGTGTCAGTATAAAAAAATCAGACTACAAATTCCACAGCTCAAACACACTACACTTCTTTTTAAGAGTCAAAGTAAAACAGTTTTCTGATTTCTAGGAATGCATGTAGATAAATATGTCTAGGACTACTTGCTAGGCTGATTACAGCACAGTGTTAGGTATATTATGGGCTCAGTTCCTGTAAGGGACAGTTAGCTTAATTTTGTCCCAGGGACCCAGATTATAAGTGATGTTGGACAACCATTCCAGTATGGGTAGCAAAGCTAGAGCATAGGATTATGAATGGCAGTTCTGTAACTTCATCGCAATAGTAAAAGATGGCACTATTGTTACAAAGAGAAGGTTCTACTTGTCCTCATTCTGAAAGTTTGTGAAAATTTAATGTATATAATTACAAAATTAATGCAGTTTCTGAAAACTTACCTTAAGTATGGAGTTTGAGTAGGCTGTGTTGTCACTGAGGAATTCACATTTGGAGGCAGAGATCTCAGTGGACCAATGTGATCTGGTCCTAGGTTGTAGCTCTGGGCAACAGTGACTTGGTGAATACTTTGACCCATATAATTTCCACCATGTGACTGAACTGGGTATGTCTATTAACCAAAGAGATAAAGTTGACTCCCTGGTCTCCCAAACACTGGCTTAATAATATTTTAAAACTTTAAAGACTTCAATGAAATAAAATGTTGGAGCTCTTTGGAGAGCAATCTGGTTCCACCAATCTATCCACTGTATTAAAAGTGGAGAGCTTCCAAATCAAAGTGCCAAAAAATGGAAATTTATGATTTACTTGGTTGTTTTTTTATTTTACTGGAGATTGAAAGGAAGGGAGGTGGTGTATTTTTAAGTAGCACACTTGAACCCATCCAGGTGACCTATTGCTTAGGAACACATCCTGCTGTAGAGCCACAGAAAACTACACCCCCTTGAAGGGCAGCCTATCATCACTTCAAGTCACCATCCGAATGATGGCCTTCTTCATCCCCACCCAAGGATGACTTACGCAACTCCTTCCTAAGAATGAAACCTAGCAGAGTAAGTTGAAGGATAAGTGGCAGCAGAACAGGGTGCAAGCCCTTTCTGGCAATGTCCCCTTTATTTCCTACCTTTAGGACAGACAGTTCCTACCTTAAGAACTGTGGGTGAAGAACATGTATGCTCAGGAAATAACAAAAAGGTCTAAACCTCTTTGGATATTGATATATGCCCTAATTAATTTTCACAATAATATCTTCTTAAGGACAGGATCTATCATCACTCAAAACAATGTACATTTTAATGATGATACAGTAAACAAATAATGCTATATGTTGAATATAATGTAAATAAACTGCTTCAGTTTTAAGTCAAGCTGTTTTTAAAGCAAAGACCGCTGACATGAAAATTTACAATGACGGAAATGGCAAATCAACTAGATTAAATGCAATTCATATCACCTCCTTGGCAGACATGTAACAACCCACTGACCAGAGGGAATGAACATCTTCTGCTGTTTAGCATTCTTGAGTGGCCTCCATAGATAGGTACAACTAGTGTTGTGCTACCTCAATTTATTCTAGGTACAGAATTTACTTTCAAATTAGAACAGGAACTTTGAGTTTTTCAAATGTTATCACACATGAATAGTTACACAGGTTCTAGGAAGATTCAAACCAATAAAACTCTAAGTTTTTAAAGAAATGAGCTGTGCTTAACAAAACACAGATTGCAAATAGCATGCAGATGAACACAAAAACCTGACACAGGAACAGTAACCTCTAGAGGCCCACAAAGAAGCAAATATAACATATAGTTTATCTCATACAAGGGTGGAAACATTTCTATGTTGTTACATTTTCATAGCAGCAGCAAATATCTTTGAAAACAGAAGCAACACTGAATAAGTTCCACCTGTCTTTTGCACCCAGAAATCCTTTCTACCCTCGTATGTAATGACTCCTCCATCACTTTCTAAAGTTCAGGACATGGCATATTTGTTAAATGTATCTTGTCTAATGTGACAGTTCCCATAGTAACTATTCCCTTTTTTACTTAACAATTATGTTGAGTCAAGTCATCTAGATTATGCACCCACATTCTATCTTTTCTCCTTGGGGGTCTCCTTCACACACTCCTGTACATACCAGTTTTCATAAATCAACATGAATTATGTTCAAGCTCATTCTGAATTCAACTGATAATTAGCTGAAATTTGAAAAAAAAATCCAGAATACTGGATACTGATAAACATAAGTATGCACTTCAGCTAGGAAGCACAGGAAAGGTGTGAAGTCCTGGGAAAATATTTTGTTCATGAATGGCTTAAGGAACCTGCACCTGTGGGCCTGCATTGTTTCTTCATCAGGCATCTATTTTTAATAATTTAAGTCATGCAACTAAGAAGAGAAAATATAAAGCATGATCTGAGAACAAAAGTTCATTAGCTAGGCCTTTAATCATTACATATAGTAAAAGAAATCTTGACAGGAATTTAAAAGAAGTGGTAAATCTTGCTTGTTGAGCAACAGGAACAGCATCAGTATTTCACCTGGAGGACTTCTGATGTGCGAGGCACTGTCCTAAATCAAAGGATTTATATTTTATATACAGAAAGGCTTTATCCTTACGTAAAGGATTTATGCTTTATATTTACAAAAGAATATGAAGAACCAGACTCCCTTCATATACTTTAATGGTCCCTTCATTCATGTTAAAAATGAACTAAAATGTATTTGTGAAATATCAGTATCTAATTTGTCCTGCTGTACACTAACAGCCCACATGTTTTTGGCAATCAAAGATGAATTTTATAATTTTGTTCATGGACCATAAAAATTTTAATACTACTTTAGACATTTAAACTTTTTTTTAATTTAGAAATTGTTCTCTAAAATCTTGCTCACCTGCATTGGAACCCCAGCTGATGAAGGTGAGTAATGTGCTGGAGGATGGAGCTTTGAATAGACTGAATAAATGGGTGCTTCATTCACCAATTTGTTATATAGTTCCAGAGCTTCCAATACTTTTACATTTAATTCAGACAATTCGGAATGCTTCCTGGTATAGAAGAAAAGCACTTTAATACTCCTCAAAGTTTGTAAGCATGTATTTAGTAACATAAGTAATTTTTTAAGTCTACCACATTTCCTATTCATATTTTAAAAGGTTTTTATATACGATGAAAAAATACTCACAAAAGAAAAATGGGAGGAGAAATTATTTAATTATTGTAATAACTAGGCTGATTTGACTTCATAATATTAGGGAAGGTCCTTTTCACACCTCATAAAATGCAGTCAACTTATAATTTTGATGCTAGGAGAATTTTGTTTCATATGTTATCAGTTTCTGTTGAAAACTCAATTACAAAGAATAATTTCACAATTTCGGAAGAGTCTGAGCCTTAATTAAAAGACTTAGTAGAAGAAAGTAGTCAAGGCCCAGAGCCTGTTACCAAGTACAATATGACTGAAATAAAACAAAATCACACACATTTCCATTTGCTTATATTATGAAAGGATCAACTGAAAAATAAATTTAGCAATTATCCTTGAAAAATGCAAGTGACAACAATGTGCAGCTGACCCTTGGAAACAAGGGGGTTGGGGCACTGACTCGCTAGGCAGTAGAAAACACGTTATTTTTTTTATTCCCTCAAAACTTAACTACCTAAATAGCCTGCTGTTGATTTTATGATATTAAATGATAACAAGAAATTAGTATCTACATATATTTTATGCATATGCTTTTTTTCAATAATTCTATGAAGTTTGTCTAAAAGTTTTTTCAAATTGTCACAAATCAAAGAATTTTTCAATACATTTATTGAAAAAAATCCACATAAGTGAGCCTACACAGTTCATATCCATATTATTCAAGAATCGTCTGTATATATAAACTAGTCTCTGCTGCTCATTTGTTGGTTTCTTTTGAGAAAATCAAGTAAACTAGATACCTTATTGTGTGTTAACAAATACAATAAAGGCATTTTTAAACTTGCACAAGGAATTCCAGAGCAAATCCTTCTGACTTGGTAGAATTTTGTGTTCTCCTGGGAGCAATAAAGACTCCCTTTGTGACTGACAAGTTCATATAAGCTAAATGGGTACTTTATCTGGCCTAAGTAACAAAGCTATTCATTAAATGTAGTTCTTTTTATTATAGACACAGAGAACCTCAAGAAACAAGAGGCAGAGGCAAGCAACCAGACACAGGACTACAAAATCAATGACCTGGACTGAGTTCTATCAAGACTTGTCACCTTTCCTCTATTAGAATCTGTTACATCTGAAACAAACATACAAATGCAGTTTCCTCTCTTGCATGTGTGACTATAAAAATAGTTCAAACTCTTATTTTAATAAATATAAATTGTAAAGCTGATTTTGTAAAGTTGAAAGTTGTAAAGGAAGCTTCAGAAATTAGTGTCCATGTTAACAAATGTGTCACCAAGAACTAACCATAGGTATATTTGGTCCATATAGCCAGGTACACTGAGGAAACACCAGGAGGACACAGAAGGGCATAATGACTGTGTTTTAAATCACCTTTAAAGATCTGAGACATAACCACAAAACAGTAAAAATTTTGACCGGACTGTGCCCAACACTATATTAGGACAGAAAATTAAAAGGTGTTTGTCTTCTTCAAAGACACTGCAATCTATTAGGGAGACAAGGCTACTAAGAACATGAAAAATAGCAAATGATACAAGACAGTGTATAACTGAAGGCAAAATTATATGAAATAGGTAGGGAACAGAAGAGTTTATAAGAGGAGATTAACTTGGGTGGTGGTAGACTGGGAAGTAAGCTGGCACCTGAGGAATGATGGATAGGCCAAGCCGAGAAAGGAAGACTGAGTTAGGTCAGGGGAATTAAGGCAAAAGGAACAAGAAGGGTACACAGGGAAGAAGGAAAGAGGCAATTTGATCAAGGACACAGAAAATGATTTTCAGAAGGTAGTAGGAAATAAGATGAGTACATTCTGGATCACGGTTAAGTTCAGACTACGGATCTCTTTCATAAATCTATCTAATCTATTTTGGAGTCAATTCACATGTTACCCCATATAATTTCTTAGGGTGATCAATGTTTCAAAATTTCATTCGGTTCAATGACATACAGAAATGAAATGTAAAATTTAATTTTCTGACAGTAAAGTTGCTTTTTTAATTAGGAAAAACCAACTGATGATGACCCACTCAAGGGAAGAAATGGTATCTTATTTATCTCTGAATTTGAGAAGGTTAAATAGTAAATAAAAATGTGTTGAAGAAATACTCCCATGGACTAGAAAATGCAAGCTGGCCGGTTCAGAAACTGAAATCAATGGGAACTGGTTAACATGTAAGCTCTCACTAAAAAAATTAACTCATATCAGAAATGGCCACTCTGATTTTTAGTTGCTCTAGACCTTTTCCTTTGAAAATATTTTTATCAACAAAAATAAGATTACACTGTCATATCTTCTGCTTTTTTTTACTATTGTATATCTTTCTATGTCAGTAGATATTTACTGATGACAATGCTTTGTACTGTAGAATGCGGGGGTATATAATTTTTCTTAAAACCACTTAAAGATATTTTAGCTCCAAATTGTTAATATAAATAATACTATGAAAAATACTGTAAAGCTCAGCCTTTGCATACATTCCTATGTATTTACTATGGGCCTGAAATTGCTGGGTTAAAGGATATGAACTATTTTTAGGCTCAGAAAGGTTTATAATGACTGTACTACTAGCCACACCTAAGGTAATACTGACCATTTTTCTTCTTAATCTTTTCCAGTTTGATTATTCACTGACCATTAACATCTCTGCACCGAAACCAAAGAAGGTGTATAAGTAAGCACTTAATGCTTTCTTCAAAATAAGAACAACAAAATAGGATGAAACTACCACCATCATTTCGTTAATTGTGACAGGGATTTTTCATTTCTGTAGCAAATACAAAAATTTATTTTTAAAAAAGCCCCACAGAGCGAAGATTATAATCTCCAGGGACTAGGAAAAAACTAGCTGCTTCTACTCTTCTCAGTCAGGGCAGATAAGGTAGTTCCTGTTCTTGTGCTGCCTTGACACAGGAGTTCAGTAAATAATATCTAGAAAGGGATGCTGATGGAACCATGAAGCCTTACCCTGGGTCTTCCATTCCCTCCAGCTTCTCTCCCTGACTTCAGGTAGGAAGCCCTGAGGAATAATAAGAAGCAGGGGGCAAAACTAAGGTAAAGGCATAGGACTCTGATAGTCTACCCCTCGGCGCTCTGCTATTTCTCAGGAAGGTAAGACTACATGGGATAATGACATTAAAAGGACAACAGAAACAGAAATACAAGGAAAAAAACAAAAGGTGTACAGTGGATTTAGCTTCTCAGATAAGGGAAATTTCATTTGAAAGTTTTACGAATATTACTACTCATCACATAACAAGAAAATGCTTGCCTAAGATCCCTGTTCTCGTTTCATCCTCTGTTCAATTTGTTCTTCATTACTCATTACCCCTCAATTCCAGCCCAAGTGAAAAATGAACACTGGCACCATCAGAGCGAGAGTCCACAACTGTACACATACTACACTGCCATGAAAAGAAATCGCTACCAAAATACAACATACCACCTTGCTATTTGTTTGTGAGAGTTTTTAGAGACTAAGAAACAATTTCAATAGATTAACAATTCCACAAAACTTCTTAAGGTTCCGCAAAAACAGGTAATCATAAAAAGACTATATTGTTTCCTGTATCTTACCTATCAATTTCTTCAAGTTTTTCATCTATCATTGGACCCATCTGTATCTTACCTATCAATTTCTTCAAGTTTTTCATCTATCATTGGACCCATCTGTTGGCAGACAACTGTAAATACAAAAATATTTTAAAAGCTTGAAACTTAAACCAGTTTAAGCCAACTTCAACAATTCTTAACAATTGAGCACCAATATGCCGTGTCATGCAAATACAAAGAGAATTAAGTTTATGCTAGAGAAAAGAACAACCTAATTTTACTATTCAGCACCAATATAAGTATTATGTGACTGAAGTCAAATTTAGAACAGAAATCCCACCATGTTCTCTAGAAGTACTAAGATTATAGACTGTGAAATTTGGAATCATCTCAAAACCTTAAATATACCTAGGAAACTACTGTTAGCTAAATAAATGAGCTTGAGTCACAACACATAAAATATATAATTATGTACAGATTAGATATGAATATTTTTAATTTATTTAAGCCATTTCAAAATTAAACATTTTTTGCATTTCCAGATGTAAATACTGACATAATGAATAGCACAATATTCAGTATTAATAACCAGACTTTCTTATATAAAAAGATTTAAGAGTATTTATCCATTTTTTTCTCCAAAGGACATTTTTAAAAGAGGCCTAAAAATATTTGTTTAAATGGTTTCAAATTTCTTGGGGACTAAAAAAGACACATCAGCATGCATCAAATTACTACATTACAAAGTTAATACAGATAATGAATAATTTTTGACCTTTAAAATCATGATGCCAAGAAAATTAAAAGAGGAATAGAATTTCTAATATTTTGACTCAATTTATTATGCTGTTATTTCTAATTCTGTCCTTTGGACTGCAAATCTCTTCAGCCAATTTCACTAGTGGGCTAAACAAAGACAAAGACTACTTCCTTGAACAGGACAGGCAAGTTTATAACACCTTCCAAGTATTGTACTTATTATTATTTTACTATAAGTCTGTTTCCCACCAGAGATTTCTAATCTCTAGAAGCAAATACACGGCAGAAGAATTTTAAGACATTATAAATAGCTAAAATACGAAATGAGATTAAAGAGTACCTAATATTCACTAAGTACCTTCTAAGTCCAGGAGATCTTGCGGATCTGGTTGTGAATCTGTTGGATCTATACTCTGGAGTACTTGCAGGGCTCTATCCATCTTATCCTAAAAAGTAATAGGACACTTAAAAACTCAACAGTTTTAATTTCAATGAATATGAAAATTACTCTTTCCAAGCATTCTCAAAGATAATACACATTAAAAGTCTTGATAGTTTATTAAACAAAAGAAGGACTCTACCTCATCTATATAAACAGGTTCAGGCTCTGATTTCTTAATTTCCTCTTCCTCCTCATCAATTACATTCACTTTGTCCACAGCTGCTATGGAAACAAAGTAAACTTTAAAGTCCTTAGCATTTACTTTGGAATTTTAGTCATTTATTTTAAGTAGCCCATTTTACCCATAGGGGAAAAAAAGGAAATCCCTCAAATAGTCATCCCATTTCATAATCAATGTTATTACATATGTTCATTCATTCATGACACAAAAATTTATTTAGCCCTTACTATTATGCCAGGCATTGTGCTAGGCATTGGAAACATACAAGCAAATAAAGTACACAGGAATCCTTGTCCTATAATATTAATGGGAACTGTCACTATAGGCATTTTCTGGAAAACTGAGGGATACCACGACAGTCAATGGACATACAAGACAGTAGAGTATTATCTACTTGGCTAATTTCAGAGTTAGGTATTTAAGCTCCTTCTGCACTCTTTTCCTTGCTATAAAAAAATGCATATTCTATATGAACAAAAAAATCTTGATTTCAATCTAACTTGATTAACAGTTAAAGCAGCACAAAACAAAAAAACTCTCATAAAGGCTAAAAATTTACAAATGTACATATCTAGAAAACTATTTAAATGTTCATTGCCATTTTGCTATAGTATGATATTTTAATAAAGTAAATTTTGGTAAAAATAAAATTATAATAGGCGGAGCCAGGATGGCGGCGTGAGTAGAGCAGTGGAAATCTCCTCCCAAAAACACATAGAGCTATGAAAATATAACAAAGAAAACTCTTCCTAAAATAGAGACCAGAGGACACAGGACAACATCCAGACCACATCCACACCTGCAAGAACCCAGCACCTTGCGAAGGGGGTAAGATACAAGCCCTGGCCGGGTGGGACCCGAGCGCCCCTCCCCCCGGCTCCCGGTGGGTGGAAAGAAACCAGAGCGGTTTTTCTTTTTTTTGGCGAGTGCTTTTTGGAAGCCTTAAAGGGACAGGG